TACAGGTTACAAAATGCAAATCTAATATGGAAATTTCCATTTATATAATGATAATTTTATACGTAACGATAATGATAAACGACGCATAATTGTATACTGTGACGTAAATGGCTGCGGTGAATCTCAAACGTGTCGCAATGAAGTTGAAACAGAAATTTGGCTAATTTTATTAGAGTTTCGTAGTCGTACATAGAAGAGTAAGGACAATTTCAGGAAGAGACTAGATAATATTTTTGTAGGTTTTTCGGACTAAAGAAGCATTCATTATATCATTGTCAAAGGATTATCTTAATACCGATACACTTACTGCGTTTAAGGAATAGAAGATAGCTTAAAAAAATTTGTACATATAAACTTTCTTAATTTGCATTAGGCAAAAATGTTACACACCCAAAAAAAAACCCCCATTATTGGAGTGTTCCAGACCCTTATTGCTTATGCCATTAATGGTTATTTTAAAATAGAAGTGGCATAAAATTTCTCGCCACTCCTGCACTCTGCACTCGATCAAATCCGAAGGCGAGAAACGCATTTAATCACTTTATTCATGCCACAATATTCGCAAAAGTTATTTTCGCCAATCTGTAATTTATTGCATAGGTAATAAGTCAATGCGACATGTTATCACCTTATTGGTACAAATATGCTTCAAATAGTTTATGGAAATAGGGTAATAGGAGTACGTAATATAGACAGATTAGAAATTTTAGAAACATGGGAGCATAATTGTTTACATATTGTATGCATATTTGCATATGCAAGGGAGCAGATGTAGGAAATAAGGGAATTTACATTTTCAAACTCAAGACATATCGGTTTATCTTGTAATCATTAATTTCCGTTGCTCAAAAGAGAGAATTTAGGAATTATGTAAGAAAAAGTCACGGATTTTAAAACGATCATTTCTAAATGATTAAATATTCAAGTATTCTTTGATAAACAAAATAATAGAAAATAGAATTAATCGATCTATGCGTAATAATTAGTAATTACAAAAAGAGGAATTTACAAAAAGAGGATAAATTCATACTGTAGATAACCACAAGAATATACAATTTTAAATTTTTGTGGCATCACCAAAGGGAGGACAGTCATATTTATTGTTTACCAAACATTGAAAAACATTGAGAAACATTGAATGATGTAACAAAAAACATAATCAACATAATTATTTCTACGAAATACGTACATATTATTGGCCACCAAATTCATCGACCGATTCACTCCGACAAAAAGTTTAAAACGTGTTAAAATTATGCAGTAGTTCAAAAGATGATTCCAAAATTTAGGCAATACTAAATTTTAGGCAATCCTAAATTTTTTATTTTTGTGTAATACTGATATCCTTCATCGCGCTATATAAACCTTAAAAAATTTTCATGTGTCTTGTTACTGTAAATGATTTAATTAGGTGCATGTATTGTAAAAAATTGCGTAATCCGTATCGCAAACAATTCAAGCATAATCGTACGCCATAGCTTTCATAAAGCTGTCAACCGGAGTTTGAATTGGTTAGATTATTAAGAAATTTGAGTTGGGCTGAAATATTTTTTGAAACAAAAAAGTTTTCAAAAAAATTAAAAAATTATCTTTGGTTGGCAACAAACATTTTATACATCCGAATATTAACCTATCGCTAATCTCAAAAAAAATTACCTTTATCTTAATTTATATTGTCCTTGTGATATTGCATGGCATGAAAGTAATGAATGTTTACTATTTTACATTTTTCTGTCAGAATCAATTTTTGTGGGGCTAAAAGTCAGATGTTTTATTTTAGTATCATTGGTAAATATCATTGGTAGTATCATTGGTAAGTGCAAATTCAAGTAAATTCATTCGCCATTTTTCTCATTGACTCCCTAAATTTTGCAATTTTGCAATTTTGCATATAAGCTTTGCATAGTACAACTCTAAGCCTTTTATTCTTATCAAACCTTCAATATATTAAAGATAACGTATGGTCGTGCGAAATGATCGCCACCTTCTTACTATAGTATTGATTGCTTACATGATATTTTTTGCCCTCGTACTCTTATTTTAATTCATTCTATGAAAAAAAAATTTCGAGGTTTCGCGAATTGGTCATCTGTTCCCCACGCACACACTATATATGTATAGATTTACCCAAACGAAGTATAATTGTAACTGTACAATTTTTTTTTTTGTACGCATTCACTTATAACCGCCACAAAAAAAAAAATGACGAAATTATGCCTACTTCAAAAAAAGTTTAAAAAAAAAAAAAGAAAATTAATGCAGATCAAAATAATCTCATCGAAAATTGTTGAATATATGCATGAAAGTATACAAATAAAGAATACCAAGAGTTTAAATTTTTCTTCAGAACAATAGCAGTTAATCCTTTTTCAAATTTATCGAAAAAAGAAAGGACGTACGTACTTTCTGCCCTTCTTTCTATTCGATCAACGACCGACATTTTTTTAAGAGAAATAATCGTTTATTTGATATATGCACGATGACAACAGAAACAAATTTTTTAGCGGCAATTCTTAACAGATATTCGTCCTTTATTCCCATACTCGGTTACATCTATGTGGAAAAAAAGACGATTTGGCCAATTAGACAATTAGATAGAATAATTAGAGATAGATCTAATAAACATTAATCGATTTTAATAAATGAATGCTAAATGAATGCAGAATTCCAACCCTTGTTTTCATTATTCTTGAGATCCAATTCAAGATCTGTGTGTAATTATAATACAGTAATACGTTAAAGTAATAATATACATATAACTTGGCTGATTTCCAGTTTTCAGCCTTTGTTTTTTAAAGTTTTAGGAATCAATACATAGTTATCGACCCATTCTTTTCGATTAATATGTTTTGTACTACTCTTTAGCGAACTTTCCATTTTTTACTCATTTTTATAAACTTTGAACCTATTAAAACTTATTAAAATTAAACTAATTAACTTATGACTGCATGACGTACAATCCCATGACTAAAAAAAACACTATACATTATACCTTCATATTGTTCAAAAAAAAAGAGTTTTTTTTTTTTTTTCTTTGTAACTAGTTGAAATCTTATATTTCAGGATGTACTGCATTATTGAAATAATTGTTCCTTGTTCCTTTTATAATATGCAGGTCGGCTTTCGGAATAATGACTCGGAAAGGTAATTTAGGTATTTAATTTTGTCGATAATTTTAACCATACATATAGCTTGTTCATCCATACGTATCATACGTATAGCTGTATAGCTGTATAGCCGTAAGTGCGAATCACATATTCAAATTAGTATCATCACATATTCAAACTCGTATCACATATTCAAATTCGTATCACATATTCAAATTCGTATCACATATTCAAATTCGTATCACATATTCAAATTCGTATCACATGTTCAAATTCGTATCACATGTTCAAATTCGTATCACATATTCAAATTCGTATCACACCTATATCACACATGTTTTGTCACTTGCAGCATCATCACGAATTATCACGAATTACACAAATTATCACAAACTAAAGTAAATCATCACGAACTATCATTTGAACTATGTAATTATCACAAATATCACAAGTATCCGATATCACTTTAATCGAATCATTTTAACAATCTCTGAAAATTTACAACAATAAGACCTGCATCGTTTCGTAGATACCAATCCACATTTGGGTTTTGCATCCGAAATCCAAGTAATTAAAGTAATTAAAGTAGTTAAAGTAGCTAAAGTAACTAAAGCAACTAAAGCAACTAAAGCAACTAACGCAACTAAAGCAATTAAAGAAACTACAGTAAATACAGTAATTATTAAAGTAATAAAAAGAATTAATTGTGTTAACTTTGATACAATAGGTTTTTTTTTTTCTCTGAATAAAACAGTGCCAAGTTTGTGTATGTACGGATTAGTAGTTTTGTATGAGAAAGATTTGTAAATATTTTTAAAGTACTTAAATTAAAGAAGGATGAATGAAAGCGTAATCCGTAAACCGATTTAAATGTATAATTTCTCGTTATTTTTGGTAAAGTGAATCTATTAAATTAAATTCCGATTTTTTCTGCTATTGTGATTAATTGAAATTTTATTTAGTCGTGATTTATAAAATAAGCTGTTAATTTAATTATAATTTCTTATCACACTTTCTTATATATACAATATATATATACATATATATATAAATATGATTAGTTAATCAACACACAAAAAATTACACTGTAAACTATTTTCTGACGTATAAATGAGAAAGCCCTTCACCACAACGGTTTGGTTGGTTTTTTTTTACAATAACATATAATAAATAAAATTGCTAAAAATTCATTCACTTCAATGAAGAGAAAGAAAGACTTGATTAATTATTATTATTATTATTATTATTATTATTATTATTATTGTAATTTCAAGTATTTTATTTAATTATTTAATATAATATTTTATATATTTTATATATTCAAAAACGTCAAAAAGTCAAAAGGAATAAAAAAAAATGGATATAGTTTTTAAAAAATTATTGAAATACATTTCATATACATCTTTAAAATCAGGTATTTGAAAATTTATGATGCTGCAATATAAAATCTTTATATTAATAATAATAAACACAACCTCTATTCGTAAGTACTTCAATTTATTTATATTGTTTATATATTACCTTTTTTTATTATCTTGTATTATAAATTATATAATAACGCCACAACGTATATTTTTGTAATAGTTGATATAAAATGAATTGACTATTGACTACTGTAAATTTTTTGAATGAGCTTCAAAAATATCAATAAAAAGGACGATTCCAGGACGATTGAAAAAAACAAAAAAATTTTCCTCTCAAACATTCTAATATTCTCAAATATTCTCGACATAGAAGTATTATTTATAAATACTTTTTTTTGAATTTTAGACTTTTTTTTCGTCATAAAAAAACGCGAAGACACTTTAAATAAGGAAAAATTTTTTTTTTCTTTAACCAAATAAACAATATCTTTACCTTTAAACTAAAAGTCAAATAAAGTCGGAAGCATAAATGACTACCACTTACACTCAAACTTTTACTCATAATCACACTCGTGCAACTCCAAGACTTATCTTGAAAACTACTAATGATAATAACTCAACCGCATCGACAACCTTGGTTACAGCTTCCACGTCTCGTTCGTCGTCACCTATAAAGACAACCAGTTCTTCTTTAACCTTACCAAAACATACTCGAAAGGCTCGTTCTATGCGTAGACATTTAAGAAAGCCTCCATCCTTTGATACTTATCTTTCTTCTTCACAACCTACGCCTGTCATTCAATCAAACACACCACCTCATACGCCACCTTATTGTTCAAAGAGGTCCAACTCATTATCCTCCTCGTGCTCTTCGATTTCATCGGAGGATAATCCTAATTATCCAAATTTTTCCAGAGAAGAATTAATTTATGCTAAAAATACTCTGAATATATCTACCAGTTCACTTAATAGTATTCCTCAAATTCGTACACGAAGAAGTTCAGGTGCTACTAAATCTGTTCGGTTTTTAGGAGATGATGATAAAAGTGACCGTAGTAGTATTTCAAGTTCTTTGGGTGATGACTGGGATCTGAATGATTTTGCAGAAGAGGAAGAAGAAGAATATTATTCGCGACAATCACCTATACAACCATCTCAATACCATGCAAAATATTATTCAACTTGAATTTAATTTTTTTTAAAGAACAGTTTTTTTCTTTCTCTTTTTTTTTTTTTTTTGTCCAGATGTTTTTACTCGCACACATTTTTTGAAAAAAAAAACAAAAAAAAAGCAAAAAAAAAGCAAAAAAAAATCCAAAAAACAAGGATTCTTTGCTATGAGAGAGAAGTGAAGTCCAACAGGAAGTTTGCTTCAGTCAAAGAGATTTCAAAAATTAATTGACAATTCAATTAAATTGTTAGTAGTAGTTAGTAATAATTTTTCGTTCCATAGCAAATTATACCTCTCAAAATCTCAAAAAGTAAAGGTTTTTTTTAATACAACTTTGTACATACATAATTGTACATAAAAGCTTTCTTTTTTTTTTTTTATTATCTATTTTTCTTTGCCCTCATTCAGAACATTATTCAGAACATTATTCAGAACATTCAGAACATTTATTTCTTTTTTTTTTAACAAATTACGACATTTTTAATTATTTTACCAACGACATCATCATGCAAATTATCTGCAATTATCCTTTTAATCCCTAATGTTCTTTCCTTAAAAGTCGTTTGGTTAACTTTAAAAAGCCAACAAAAACTTTGAGGTGTAAATTATACACAAATCCCAAAAAAAAAAAAAAATCCACCCATCAAGCTTTATGATTTCACGAAAGGGGATAAATAATAAAATCTTTAGCATATTTGTGACAATTGAAATAAGATGTATGAATTAGCTGTAAGTAGTTGAACGCGAAAAAAATAAGTTAAACAAAAAAAAAATCTACAATATATATTAAAAAATTATAAAAATTCAAATATCAAAAAAAGAAATTGTTTTTTTTTTTATTACGTGAAAAATTATGTATTTCAAAAAAATATATTGCATAATCTTATTGCATAACAACGTGTCTGATTAATTATGGATCAAAAAAAAATACAAATAAAAAATGTTTTAAGCCTTACAAATGTTAATTTGATATCGAATTCTCACGCGGCCGAGGTATTTCGTAAGTACGATAAAAACACGATTACCCGAGGGCGAAAAAGGTTAATTCAATGCACCGTTTATCCAAATCATGTGATCATGTTTCATAATTATTAAACGGTTCATAAATATTCCATCGTAATGAATAATTAACGATAAAAATCGAGTTGTTTTTTTGATCAAATAATCAAAGAGCGAAGAAATTAAACAAGTACAAAATATTTAAAAGACATTTAATACTTTTGAATCATAAATAAAGTTATAGCATGCATATTCGCCATATATTCACTACATACTTACTATAACTTACTATAACTTACTATAAATTATTGTCACACTACTTTTATCTACTTTTATACAATTTTACTTTTTCATACAAATATATATGTTAACCCCCACTTCGTCAAGAATATCACTATCTTTAATCGGTAAAAACTTAAACCTTGAAAAAAAATTTTTTTTTTTTTTAAAAAAGATAATAACTTTGGTTTACTGTGATGAATGAACATCTTTGTAATAATATTTAGTTAGGTTAACTCGGTTACTTTTTAACCATGGCTGAATTTTTGGCCGATTTCCTAATAATAAACAGAGATAATGTAATGTAATGGTAAATAAAAAAGAATTATTTCATAACGATGATAACGATGATAACGATAATAAACAATAATAAGATAATAACAATAATAATGATAGTTGTGGTTTAGAATCTTTAAAAAAAAGAAACGATTATAAAATAGTACAAAAGCACGGGTGTTATATACGTATCATCACTAGCATATATATTAAACTATATATATACATAGTGATAGTAGTGATAGTAGTGATAATATAAATTAATATAAATTAATATAATTAATATAAATTAATATAAATTAGTATAAATTAGTATAAATTAATATAAATTAATATATATGCTATAATCACCCGCATTTTTTTGTTCGCTTATTTGACAGCCTTCGCTTATTTAAATATTCATTCGCGAATTTTTTGAATAGTATTCAGTCGGTAATGTCGGTAATAGTTGATAATATCGGTAATGAAAGCTTACACATACATCCATAGCGCATTTATGTTACAAATTTCTTGATATTTGATTGGTTACTTTTAAAATAGTAATTACTAAAAATGACATTGATAATGAACTTATAAAGCCAAGCGCTTATTATGTTATGTTTAACTTTATACAGGATCTTGTAAGATTTAGGTTGGATTTACCTTTTCTGTGGGCTGGTTAGATATATTCGTAATGGATCGACGAAGAACGAAAATAATAGGGAATGAAGAGAAAAAGGATACATTACATTGAATAATAACTGAATAATACTGTAATAACGATAAATAGATACAGTTACGTACGTAGTAATAATAATAATAATAGATGATAATAATAATAACGATAATAACGATAATAACAATCTTATCGTTACATATTCTTATTCTACATATTCAATGGTGTGAGAAAAAAAAGCAAATATTGTTAAAGAAAACATTAAAAAAAATAAAGAAACCATTAAGGGGTTAAACTTATTTGATTTGATCGACAGGATTGAGCGACTTTGAGTGTCACTTTAAAACAAAGCGAAATTTTTGTCCTTTGAATCTAACTAACGAAATTCTTTGGTTTCCCCACAAAAAATATACTTTTTTACCACATTCAGTTCATAAAGTTCATATTTCTTTAATATTTCATACATTCCCCACATTTATTGTCCCCACAAACAAAAAAAAAATAATATAAAATATATTAAAGAACTTTAAAACAATTCAAAGGTTTATATGAACAAGCGGATAACAGGATGATTGGTTCCGGTTCATATACTTGTTAAAAATTCGTATCACACTCATATCTCACTCATATCTCACTCATATCTATACGTATGCTTTACTGTTATCGCCGATTATCGTAAACAATTTAAAATAAATTTAAAATGGAGAGACTATGTAAATAAAATGTGGACTAGAAATTTCTAGAGAGTCAAACATATGATAAACTTTAAAAGTATATATGTCAAGAATGTCAAGAATCGAGAATTGGAAAAAATTTTCTAAATTAAGAATTAAAATTAAATTAAGAATTAAAATTAAGAATAAACACACTAATATTTGACATATTGATATCGATATATCTCTGTATTAATCTTAGCACATACATACAGTACGTACGTACGTACTGTTCATAGTAACATAATTATATAGTCTAATTGTTAAAATCAATTCATTCCTGGATCTTTTAAAATATGATCTATATTTCGATTTTTAGTCAAATATTATTGTTATACATTGTTATACATTCACACATTCATACACATTATACATTCACACATTTCATACACATACATACATTCATACACTTCATACATTTATACTTGTATGAAGTTATAGTATATCTTGAATGTGGATCAAATCTATATATCAGATATATATCATATATATATATATATATATATATATATATATTATAAAAATTTTGATAAAAATTACAACTATTATCATTAATATATTTATTTCGTAGACAATGTGTTAATTTGATGTGTAACGAATGACGAATATGCTTGTGATTTTTATGATTTTAACAATTAACACCAATTAACACCAATTAACACGTGAGATAAATTTCACTTTCGAGCAATTTTTAATCATTGTTAAGTTTTTATCATTTTTTAAGGGTTTGTAAGGAGAGGTTAAAATCCCTTTTTGGTTCATGTATCACGTTTCTCTCTGCTAAGAAAAGCAGGTTCCCAATTTGGTTTCCGCTTTTTTCACAACAATTGCAGGCGTCACTATGAATAAGTCTGTTTCATTGAATTGCATTTGCATATATGATTACGACATCCTTCATTGTTGATACTTTTTTTATCTCTTAATCCTACAGTTCTTTGTACTAAACTTTAATAATTGCATTAGTTTCTTTTTCTTTCCCTAACTGAAACAATATTATTCCAGATGAAGATTATCTTCTGGCTAAAAAAACTGCATTATCTACTATCGCTAAAGTGACTAATATTTTTTCCTTTACCTTAATTGGCTAATGATTATCCATTTTTGTCATCTGTGCATTATATTTCCGATCTAGTATATATTTGTCCCTTTTTACTACATATATGCATTTTTTTATATTATTAATTTTTTAATTTTCATTTGATTCACTTACATATATCGACATATATCGTACGTACGTATTCTTAGTTTACTGTTAATTTGTTGACTTTTAGAGATTTTATACCTATCTTGTTATTTATCTTGTTATTACATATTGATTCCCTGATTTTGTTTCTTCACATTTTGAAAATGCTTTTACATCGGATTTTGTCTGGATTTTCCGACTGCATTACAATAATTATTAATTAACGTTAACGTATGTGTGACCAATTCAAATCTTATTATCTTATTATAAAAAAATATTTACTTTACTATTTATCGTTATTATTAATAAGGTTGGTCGATCTTATCCTTTTAAAGTTATCTGTTATCATTGAGTAAAAAAATAAAGTACGTATAGGTATGACATGATTATATTTTCCCGAGATTACTTCATCCATTCTATTAGGTTACACGATGTAACTACGCCTTCTATACCTCAATTCATACGTACGTAGATTGGTTAGTATGCGAAAATTACCAAAAATTACTTGATTTTTTGTATAGGTTTTTTTTTTTTGTTTTACGTATATGCGTTAATAATGGCGCATTTAAGTTCGTATATGTTTAATGGTTATCAATACTGAAATGTTTCAATACTGAAAATGATTCAATATTGAAAAATGTTTCAATACTAAAATGATTGGTTACTGTATAAAACGTATGTGGCTCCCTACGTACGTACGTACGTAGCGTACGTAGCATACGTAGTTTTGATTTAATGTCAAACAAACACATAAATATTTTGTATATTTTTTCAAAGAGAAACTTTATGATTTCTTTTTTTGGTTATCGTTATTATACGTATAATCTTATTTGGCAAAATTATACGTATTCAATGTGGATAAAAACTCTACCATTATTATTATATACTGTATATCGGTATATTAATATGTACTTAAAAGAAGATGCAGATTCCGCCGATTGTCACGTGATAGACTGTAAAAGCTAAAGGCGTTTGACATTGATTAGATAATACACATCGATGTGACTAAGGGGTCAAAGCAAATCCTGTGTACGTGTGACAAAAATTGTCACTTATGATTTGTTAAAAAAAACCTGCCAAATTTTACCGATTATAAATTTATATATGTGCTAGCATTAATTGTTACGGCTGATGCTGAAGTTTGGCTGATGTTGAAGCTAAAAAATCTGATTGGCTAAATTTTGCAGATCACCCTAACCCTAACCAATCAGATTTTTTAGCTTCAACATCAGCCAAACTTCAGCATCAGCCGTCACATTTGTTAATTAATCGGTACTGATTGGCCTAAATTATAACTCTCTTCTTTACCAGTCTCATTCTAATTCTTACCCTAGCTTGAGCCGGTAAACTCTCAATTTCTACGTAAAACACTAATTATTAGCGGCCATAGATTTTTATACGTATATATTAAATAATACGATACATAGTCCAAAGTCTCTGATTTTTTCGGTCAAATTAGGAAAAATTCGAATGTTCGAAAATTCGGAGAATACATATATTGATCGTAACATATAAAACCTGGTACTACCCTACACAGTAGAGCATATCAAATTTTATATTTGTTGAGTATCATCTCGTAAAATCAAGGACTAATTAAATCAGATCATAATTATGTAATTTATAGAATACCCAATTTAATTAATATGATCGAAGCAGTGATTTATTGAGTTCGAGTAATTAAGTAATATGAGTGTAATGCCGATAAAATTGGGGTTAGCGAAAGTATTGTGATATAATAAACGATTACGAATAAAAACTTTTTTTTGAATAATAAAATATATTTATTCAAACACTGCAAACTCGGTTCTATTTATTATAATTGAAATACATTTTTTTGTAAAGCAATCCGAGCAAATTATATAATGTATTCCCGATAATAAGCTATTTTTGGCTCCTAATTCTTTTTTAATTTGATTAATTCTAACCTTTCACGAACTTTGCGTTCTTTTAATTCCAATTCTCGCTCCTTTAAAATCAATTATTTCTCCTGAATTTTTAAATCATTTGTTGGATTAATTTCAACTTTTTTTTTGTGCTTTAGTTGGTTTATTAATACGATGTTTTGTTTTTTGAGATTTGTGAACTATAAAATATATATAAATGTATCTTTTAATTAAAATTTAAATAGATATATAAACGTATCTTTTAATTAAAATTTAAATAGATATATAAATGTATTTTTTTAATTAAAATTTAATAAGATATATAAATATATTAATAAAAAAATTTCACGTACCAATACACCATAATTTTTCCCGACTTGCTAATTCTCTATATATTTTGATCATTATAATGCTCTGCTTTATTAATGTATAAATTAATAAAATTAATATTTATATTGATAATTTAAATTTTAAAAAGTAAAAATAATTATTTGAAAATTGCATTTTCTAAAAGAAAGAGCTTTGTTATCACGATTTATATTAACATGATTTGTTTCTGTTATGTTTGTATTATCGGGTGCTTTAAACTATATCCCTATATTCATAAGTAAAAACAATAGGTTTAAAGAAATTTTTATCTATAATGTATTATAAAAAGAAACCAACCTAAAATTAAAATATTATTTGAATATTTAAAAATAATTACATTAAATCATACATAGTAGATTTTTTTAAAAATGTGCTTATATAGAAGTTGTGCTTATAGGAAGTTTTTTTTTATAAATTAAGGTGACTATATGGAAAGATAATTGTACTAATATTAGTATATTATATTATTTATAATAATAAATACAGTTAGACCTCTTTATAGTCACCTTCTCTATAATCATATTGCTTATAATCATATAAAATTTTAAGAATTTTGCTAAAGATCACTGCAGGTGATCATCACCACTCTATTACAGATTTGTTTAAGGAACCGATATTTAGAGTTAGGTTTAGGCAGGATTAGAATAAGAAAAGTGAAATTATATATGAAATTTTGTTCTGAAAACTTTTAATTAGTGTACAAAGGTTCATTACTATAGTAAAATAACTTGTTATCAATATTTTTAGGCTTTTTTTCTTAGTTTCGCTATTGTTTTGGTTATACAAGATTCTACGATTTGATTGGTCGAACATATGAGCGGTGATGATCACCTGCAGTGATATTTAGCAATACTCAAAT